TTTTTTTTTTTTTGTTTTGTTTTATTGCTGTGAGCCATGGAAAAGTCAGTCTTACCTATCCTGTTTCCTTCAACAATAAACAAAACAACAACACTGTAGTGTAATGGAAAAAAGCCGAAAGTTGCAAGTTGCAAGTCCAGCTTCAAATCAATGTATTTGAGCAGAAGATGCATCATTCTTGGCGTTTTATTTTGACAAGTTTCGAGCAAACACATACTTGTGAAGGAGACAAAAAATGGTACCCACATTCTTTGTGGTAATCCTTCACACAACCCTCATCCTACTCTTATCGGCCCGAGCCCAAGCCCAAACCCGATCCCGATCCTTCTGCCTCAACAACAACGGCAACTACACTCGCAACAGCACCTACGCCGCCAACCTCAACGCCGTCCTCTCCTCCATCCCGGACACCATCGACACCACAACCGGCTTCCACAACGCCTCAGCGGGCCAGGCCCCCGACCAGGCCCACGTCATCGCCCTCTGCCGGGGCGACACCCAGCCCGAGATCTGCCGCGGCTGCATCCGGAACACCACTTCCCAACTGCTGATGTCGTGCCCCAACCAGCGGCAGGCGGTCTTGTTTTCCGAGTTCTGCACGCTCCGCTACTCCAACGAGACTCTTTATGGGATCAGGGCTCCCTCGCCCCCCGGCTGGTTTTATTGGAACACGATGAATGCAACAAACCCGACCCGCTTCATGCAGGACCTCAGGACGCTGATCGACGAGCTTCGCGGCCGGGCGGCGGAGGGCGGGCCCCGGCGGAAGGTGGCGGCCGGGAATGTGTCGGCCACCGATTTCCAGTACATCTGTGCGCTGGTCCAGTGCACGCCGGATCTGACGGCAGACGACTGCAGCCGGTGCCTAATTGGTGCGGCTCAGGACATTCCGAGGTGCTGCGACAATAGGAGAGGGGCTAGAGTGTTTTGGCCCAGCTGCAACATACGCTATGAGACGGGTCCCTTTTATAACTTGACCAGGCTCCAGGAGCTTGAGCCGCCTGTCACTGCCCCTCTGCCACCGTCGCCTCCCGGTATTGGATGATGTTATCTCTAAATTGCCAACATGATTTTAAATCTTGTGGAATTTGCAGTTCAATCCTTAAAGCATCTTGAATTTGCAGTTTTGTTCAAAGACAAAAAGAATGAGTGTTTTGTTTTGGTGACTATTTCAAATTATGCAGGAACAGGTGGTGGCAATAATACAACCAGAACGGCTATCATTGTTGTCGTATCAGTTGCGGCTTGCATCATATTAGCGATTTTTGCATGTGTCCTGTTAAGGAGGAAGAGAGTAAAACGGCAACCAAAGGAACAACATCAGAGTAAGTGCACTTTGATATCTTTTGTTGAAATACTTTACCGTTTTCTTGATGTTCAACTAAGTTTTTGTCTTTCAAACATTTGAAGCTGACGATATTAGCAACCCCGTCGAATCTCTCAAATATTCCTTAATCACACTTAGAGAAGCCACAGATGATTTCTCGGATGTTAACAAGCTCGGTCAGGGTGGTTTTGGAACTGTTTACAAGGTAATTCGGTATATACTAATGTGGTAAAGAATTTAGTGAAATCCCTGATGCAACAATTTCGAGTATAAACACAAAACAAATAAATGAAAATCTGAGTATTCTCTCATATGTACCAGGGCGTACTTTCGAATGGCCAGGAAATAGCAGTGAAGAGATTGGCTGAGAACTCAGGACAAGGAGATGTGGAATTCAAGAATGAGGTCTTATTGTTAGCCAAACTACAACATAGGAATTTGGTTCGACTTTTGGGCTATTGCCTTGAAGGAACAGAGAAGCTTCTTGTGTACGAATTCGTGCAGAATTCAAGCTTGGATCAATTTATATTCGGTAATATGATATATCACAATTTTTGTTAAAAAGTTAATCTGATTAGAGATTGACTAGAAATTACAAACTAATTTTCTCTACATGCAGATCCGGTCAAACGCTCATACTTAGATTGGGAGAAACGGTACAAGATCATAGGGGGCATAGCAAGGGGAATCTTGTACTTGCATGAAGATTCTCAGCTTAGGATCATTCACCGTGATCTAAAACCCAACAATGTACTTTTAGATGGATCGATGAACCCTAAAATCGCAGATTTTGGCATGGCAAGGCTATTCAGACAAGATGAAACTCATGGGAATACGAGCAGGATTGCCGGAACATTGTAAGTACACCGCTTATCATAGGACTAGTTATAACAACCATTTAAGAATAAGCTTTATTATTCTACTATCATTTGTTCAAATCATAAATATATCAACTATTTTACATAATGCAGCGGATATATGGCTCCGGAATACGTAATGCACGGGCAGTTTTCTGTTAAGACGGATGTGTTCAGCTTTGGAGTGCTCGTATTGGAAATCATTAGTGGCGAGAAAAATAACTGCGTTCGGCGTGGGGGGAACATAGAAGCTCTCTTGAGCTTTGTAAGTACATATATTTTACATAAGGTTAAATTGCATTTTTAGTCTTGTTGGTTTAACGTCATAACACTTTTGGTCCAAAGATTCTAACATTTCGTCTTTTGGTCATGTGATTTAATATTTTACTTCAATTTCAGTTCTCAGATGACTGAAATTACAATGATCCCCAAATTTATAAATTTTTTATTAGCAATTTAAGTTTATAATTTAAAATTTTGTTGCAATTTCAATGCTATAGTTTAGAATTTTGTTGCACTTTTAGTCCTTTGAAGATCAAAATCGCAGCAACATATTAAATCATATGACCAAAATGCTAAAAGTTAGAACCTGGGACTAAAATTGCCGTGGTGTTGTGTTAAACCAACAGGACAAGAAATATATTTTTGCCTAACTAAAATGACCACTATACAATATAAATCACACTAAATTTGGTTAATATATCCAAAAATTGGTATTGAATTGTTATAGGCTTGGAAAAACTGGAAAGATAGTACGGCTGCGAATTTTGTTGATCCTTGCCTGAGGTCTGGTTCAGGTTCGATAAGTGAGATTTTGAGATGCATTCACATTGGTTTGCTATGCGTTCAGGAGAACCCGGCCGATAGACCAACAATGGCTTCTATTGTACTAATGATTAATAGCTTCTCGTTAACTCTGGCTGCTCCTTCCGAGCCTGCATTCTATATGCCGAGTGACTATGGCTCGGATTCTCAACTCCTTCAGGAGCATCGTTTGAGGGAATCAGACTACAGAAATCATTCATCAAAAAGCAGCGTACCATCGGAGGATAAGCCTTCATCAAGAAATGATGCATCGATCACGGACTTATATCCACGTTGATCTGCGAAGAAGATTGACAAAGTTTTATATGTAGGGGCTGTTATAATTCTGTTGTCTAAATGAATACTTGTCTATTTTTGAGTTCTATTCATGTTGTTTGTTTCCATTTTTTGAATCAGTACAATAATTGTGTTGAATATGTGGATTGTTGA